TTCCACATTGTTCTCCCACTCCATCCAGGATCTCCTACATAGATTCCCTTCTGAATGGTTGCCAGTGGTAGCTGTATGCTGTATATCTTGATGAATGTCACAACTGACCTAGTCTTACAAGATAAAAAGAAGAGTCAACGAACAAAATTGGGACCTAAATTCTCACAGTTCTAACAAGAGAAGATATGTATGGCAGACTTGATTGGTGCTGACCCAGTATTCCAAAAATAACAAATTGAAAAAACGGGCCACAATTTCAAAACAAACCTATCCTTTATAGAGGAGCCCTAATGGCGCAATGCTTAAGCACTTGGCTGCTTACTGAAAAGAAAGCAACCCACCAACTCCTCTATGGGAGGAAGATTTGGCAGTCTGCTTCCCTCTTCCAGAGATTCATAGCCTTGGAACCCTTTGAGACAGTTCTATTCTGTCTGATGGGGACACTATGGCTCAGAATTGACTCAATAGCAATGAGTTTGGATTGGTTTGTTTCATCCTTTACATATACTCCTGGTAGGAAGGATATAGTTAATTGAAAAGAAAACCTCCTAACAGCGGATATATGGATAAAGAAACTGTGGTATAGTCATACAATGGAATACTACACATTAAAGAATAACAATGAATCTGCAAAACATTTCATAACATGGATGAACCTGGAGGACATAATGTGAAATGAAATTAGTCAAACACAAAAGGACAAATATTGTATGAGACCAGTATTATAAAACTCAAGAAAAGGTTTACACACAGAAGGAAACATATTTTGAAGGTTACCAGGGGTGAGAGGGGAATAAAGGGTAAAATCATTAACTAGAATGTAGTCACACATTAACTTTGGTGTCAGGAAAGGCAATATACAGTAAAGGGGAGGTCAGTACAAAATGATCAAGGCAAAGGAAGACACTGGGAGGAGCATAAGAATTAAAGGCAACAAAGGTGAATACACAAATTGCATACACAATCCGGTACATACACAATGAGGTAATAACACTAATAACAAAAATCTACTAGTAGATACATACACAGACACACAAACTAAACAGGCAGGGGAAGATGAAAGGCATTGAATATATATGAATATACATACATTTGACATAGGATATGTCTAGTTATGTTTTTATATATGCTGTAAATACATCCATGAACATGACCACAGGGAGGAAATAGAGCTGTTGTATTGTGGGGATTGTAATCAGTGTCACAAAACAAAATGTTTATAACTATTGAATGTAAAACAAATCTGCTTTTTGAGATTTCACCCAAATCACAATAAAAAGTTATATATATATATATATATGTGTATATATATATACATATGTGTGTGTGTGTGTGTGTGTGTAGCATAGTGCCTAAGGCATGTGACTGCTAACCAGAAGGCTGGCGGTTCAAACCCACCAGCCACTCCTCAGAAGGAAGGTTGGGCAATGTACTTCTGTAGTGATGCCACCTCAGAAGCCCAAGGAGGGGTTGGTATGAGTCGGGGCTGATCTAGGGGGTCCATCTCCCTAGGGTAGGTGTTCTACTTGTAGCTCTTTCTGATACTTGGCTGAGAGCACGAAGTGAGTCTGGTTCCAGGCCCAAAGGATAACCCAGGGCCATAGTCTCGGGGGTTCCACCAGCCTCTATCTGACCAGTAATTCTGGTCATGTTTTGTTTTGTTCCACATTTCTCCTCCCACTCTATCAAGGATCTCCAATTTTGATCCCTTTCCACATGGTTGGCATTGATAGCCAGACACCATCTAGTTCTTCTGGTCTCAGAGTTGTGAAGGCTGAGGTCCCTGTGGTCCATCATATCTTTGGACTTATTGTTTCCAAATTACTTTTTCTTTAGTCTTCTTTGCTCCAGACCAGGAGAAACCAATAGTTGCATCCTAGGTGGCCGCTTGATAGATTTTAAGACCTCAGTGGCTACTCACCAAAGTAGGATGTAGAACAAGATTTTTATGTACTATGTTGTGTCAATTGAGCATGTTGTCCCCAGGACTATGGTCCCAAGCCTGCAGCCAGGTGACTCTCTCCCTCAAGGTATCTGGTTGTCTCTGAGAAGCTACTCCAAACTTGACCACTGTTACTTCTGTAGTGTATATAAATATTTTTGTAGCTCAAGTACATACATGAAACTATCTTTATCCAAGTCTATCCTTGGTCTTTGGTACATTCCTGTTCACCTACCCATACCTTATCTACTCCCCTGTCTATGCATTCACCCATAGCCTAGTGTTTGCTGCCACTAGTAATGCAGTACTGTGCATGTATTAGTATTTGCCTCTGTTGTATCTTTTGTATGCATTTTTGTGCCCTCCTTTTCCCTATTGCCATTGTGCTGGTCACACACTTTTGTTATACTGCCTATCCCTTCACCCAAATCAACATGTGACTCTTAACTAGTCAGAAAATTTTTCTTCCTTTTCCCTCCCATCCCCAATTACCAACAAAGTAAATTTCCTTCCTTGTGTAAACTTTTCCTTGACTTTTTACAGTAATGGACTCATACAGTATTTGTCCTTCTGTGACTGCCTTATTTCAATGTCCTCCAAATTCATCCATGTTATGATGCGATTCAAGGATTCATCATTATTCTTTAATGTTGCATAGTATTCCATTGTGTAGATGAACCATAGCTTGGTTATCCATTCATCTGTGGATGGGCCCTTAGGTTGTATCCATCTCTTTGCTGTAGTGAATTGTACTGCGATGAACTAGGGTCTGCATGTGTCTATTTGTGTCCTGGATCTCACCTCTTTAGTATACATTCCTAGTAATGGAATTGTTGGATCAAATGATATTTCTATTTTCAATTAAGGAAACACCATACCATTTTCCACAGTGGTTGTACCATTTTACAGTTCTACCAGCAGTATATGAGAGTTGCCATCTCTCCACATTCTCGCCAGCATTTATCATCCTTCAGGTTATCCTTCAGGCCTGGAACTGACTCACTTCGTGGATTTGCTCTCAGCCAAACATCAGAAAGACCTACAAGTAGAATACTTACCCTAGGGAGATGGACCCCTGACATCAATCCACCATAAGACATCAAAAGGGCAGCATTTGTCGTACTTGGCTATTATTGCTGGGGTGAGATGATATGTCATTGTTGTTTTTATTTGCATCTCTCTAATGACTAATGGAAGGAGCTCTGGTGGTGTTGTGCCTAAGGCATTTGACAATTAACCAGAAGGCTGGTGGTTCAAACCCACCAGCCATTCTGTGGAAAACTAGGCAATCAACTTCTGTAAAGATTTACTGCCTCAGAAACCGAAAGGGGGTCACTATGAGTCAGAAGCAACTTGATGAGTGTTTGTTTTTGGTAATGGCTAATGATCATGAGCATTTCCTCATGTGTTTGTTGGCCACCTGTATATCTTCTTCAGTGAAGTGTCTGTTCATGTCCTTTGCTCATTTTTTAATTGGATTGTCTTTTTGGTGTTGAGGTGTTTAAGTTTTTTCTATAAATTTTAGAGAGAAGTCCCTTGTCAGATACGTAAGTCCCAAATATTTTTTTCCTAACCTGTAGGTTCTCTTCTTACCCTTTTGGGGAAGTCTTTCAGTGCACATAAAAATTTAATTTTCAAAAGGTCCCAGTCATCTAGTTTCTCTTCTGCTGCTTGTGCATTTTGGGTTATGCTTGATAGTCTACTTATGCTATGAATTAGGGCCCCTAGGTTTGCCACTAGTTTATCTTTGATGAAATTTATGGTTTTGGGTTTTACATTTAAGTCTTTGATCCATCTGGAGTTTGTTTTTGTGTATGGTGTACGGTATGGATCTCGTTTCATTTTTCTGCAAGTGGATATCCAATTTTGACTATGGCTCTTAGTCACTCTTCAAGCCTGGAACTGAACTCAACCCTGTGGCTCAATCTTCAGCCAAACAGATTGGCCTATAAGGTGAACAATAACACCAAGGAGGTACATACTCCTTAGAACAAACAACCATAGAAGAGTAAAAGGGCAACATTTGCACAGGGATAAAGCTTAGAAAGCAAGAAGGAATAGGACAGAAGACCAAATGAAAATGTGAAACACAGGAAAGAAGTGGAAAGAGTATTATTACATTGTGAGGATTGCAATCACTATCACAAAACAAAATGCGTACAAACTGTTGAATGGAAAACAAATTTGCTTTGAAAACTCTCACCCAAATCACAATAAAACATTAAAAAAAAAACAAAACCACCCTCGTAAATGGAAATATGGTATCCAGGATTGGCTATTGGAAGAGGAGATGAACATTAGTGGGAAAAGTGGTGAAACCTGAATAGTCTGGAGTTTAGTTAGCAGTAATGGATCAATGTTGAGCTGTGAGTTTTGACAAATGTACCATAGTTTTATATAAATGTTGAAAGAAGAAACTAGGAGATGAGTATATGAAAACTCTGTGCTAATTTGCAACTTTTCTGTAAATCTAAGATTATTCCAAAATAAAAAGTTGATTAAAAAAAAAAAAAAACCTTTCTAATTTAATAGTCTCCTTCCCCAGCCCATCTTCATTCACCATATTTTTGCCCAGTGACTTCCAAATTTTCACCAACAATAACAAATACATTTGTATATGCATCCAAATATATAATCAAAGTGAAAAATTTAACATGTGTATGAGGCACTCTTTTCTTTTCTCTCTTTCATTTTTTAGTGCTGGTAACTACCCATCTAAGAGTTTAGACCCACAAATAGAAAAACCATTCCAGTAATATTGGGTTTCTCTTGATTTGTCAGACACACCATGCTTTTTCATACCTCCAATTCTTTGCTGTTGCTGCTCCTTCTGCCTGAAACACTCATCCCTAGAACACATGGCATAGTAGCCTCTCCCAATTATTTCCTCTTAATACTCTGTTTTTTCTTCCATTGCACTTATGATAATCTATAAGTCTTATTTGTTTACTTCTTATTTTCTTTCTCTCCACTAGAATGTAAGCTCATTGAAAGCATGATTCTTTTGGGTACTGTTAACCAATATATCCCCAACATCTGGAATAATGCCTGGCTCTTGGCAGGTATTCCAGCAATTATTAAATGAACAGATATGCAAGCAGATCCAGTCATCAAAGGAAATCAAGTGGAGTGGTAGTTTGCTCCACAATTCCCAAGGGCAGCTTCCACTTTGTCCTGAGCCACATAAAAGTCACAGAACAAATAGAGTAAGGTGAATTTATTTTTCCAATTGTAAATTAACAAATTTTAAGGAGAGAAACATAAATTATTTTAATAATAGGTAGAGTCATACAGATGTTTATACCTCTGTTAGGTAAAAAGAAAAGAAAGAGGACGAGAACAGAAAGGAGATAAGCCTAAGTAACTCACTGTTCAGTCTAGAATCAATAAGAAGAGGTGGCCTTTGGAAACACAAAAAAGATTAAATCTCAGTTGATTAAGTATGCTCCTGAAGGAGTCAATCAAGCTGAACAGCAGAAAATGACAACTCAAATGTCCACGTACAGCATCAGATTCCCAAAGAGTTTTCTTCCTGTTCCTCTGGCTCTCTCCCCACCATGTACACAGACACTTCTAGCAGCAATATCATACCAAATGTCCCTAATGCTTCACAATGAGAATGTGAACGTCCACTGTAAGACCTGAGGAAGATTTCTGGAGAGAACTGGGGGGAATATTTCCCACCAAAGTTGCCTAGGCTTGGAAAAGATAGTTTTCTTGTGTTTCTGTCTTGAAGGTGGACTGATGCTGAAGTTAGCTGGGCTACAGCAATTCTGGTTTAGACATGGAACACTCTCTGGGTATAACAAGGTGCCTGGTGTGCATGAGTCAGTGAGGCAGGAGAGACCAAGGCCAGCACAAAGTGCGAACTCTTCTAGTGTTGGGTCCACTTGATGCTCTTGAGATCAATGCCATCCTGTACCATCTCCCAGAGAGGGCTGCCAAAAAGAGACACTGGTGAGTGAGGGCTCAGAGAGGAAGCATTCAACATTGGCTCCAACACCCTTGGCAGTGACTTGCCTCCTTCAGCCCTTGTATCTGCTCCTTCTTCTTGCCCTGGCAGATCCCAACACACATAGCTAGCAAGTCTTCTCTAGCTATCTGAAAGTCCTTGCCCATTCCAGCTAATTCCCAACTGCAAACAAATAATAACTAGCTACCCTAGGTTCAGGGTTTTAATCTTGAAGTTCCTATCTCACTTTTGAGAAGCTATGGACAGTCTCCTTGGGAGGAACCAAGACCCTTAAGCCCCATTTAAGCAGCAAATTTCAGGCTTTCTACTAACCTCCGTCATGAAGGGCCCACTAGTTTCTAGGTTTTGCTCTACTTTCCATGTAGGGCTGGGGCTTACCCCTAAATCATCTGGGTTTTTGGGGCACCCTCACTCTATTCCTATTATCTTCATCTTCCTTGAGTTGGACTCTGGTTCCAGTATCCCTAGATCCAATACAAAGAGATCAATTGGAACTTAGACCTGGGCATCTCATCATACAAAAGAACTGCTACTGAGAAATCTTGCTAAGCTCTGACCCCATTTAGCTTGGATATTTTGGATAATGATACCACACTTTACTTCAGGGTGCTACGACTATGGTATTCTGTGGTTTATATTTCCCCAGTTAATTTTTTGCTTCTCTATATCATGCTCTTCTTGGTTTACTCTCTTTTATACTATGCATTCCCAGTATGCCTTGCCATATATGACATTTTCCAAGGCTATTTAATCATCTCCTTTCTGTCCCTTCTCTTCCAGAAAAATTATTATGTTATTGTTGTAAGGGGCCATAAAGTCAGCTCCGACTCACGGCGACTCTATGTACAGAATAAAACGCTGCCGGATTATTATAAACTCACAAAATGGGGCTCTGGCTGAAAGCTAAAGGGATAGAGGTTGAATTCAGTTTGCAAAGGTCAGAAAGAATAAGGTACAGATACTAAAGCCAAAGATAGGAGGACTAAAAGTTTGCTGGCAGCACAGTTGTAAAAATATCCCTTGGATATGCCAGACAGTACCAGAAAGCCAGGCCAAAGGAAGAATACTGAGCCTAAGAAAGTTGTGAAAGCTGTAATTGCTTCATAGATTCAGCTGGGCCCTGGGAAGGAAAATCCAGAGCCCAGAGAGGCCTGCAAAAGCTCATAAAGGGAAGCAGAGTGTATACATAAGCTTTCTCACTACTGACAACTGGACCAATAAAATCTTCAAAGTCAAGTTGAACCAGGACAGAGCCATGCTGTGAAAAAGTCCAGAGGCCTCAATGTTCCCAGGAGGAAGCTGAGCTCTATGGCTTCTATAGGAAACCCTGGTGACAGCTGACTAGTCAAGGACCCCTTGGCCTTTACATGCACCTTCACAAAGAGAACGCTGAGCAGTGGTTATTAACATTTTGACAATCTGATAAAAAGTCTACACTACCCTCAAAAAAAAAACCCACCACACTTCAGAACATTGAGCATGTAATTTCAGGGCAATCGTGTATATCTTTGAAGTTAAACTACAGAACCAAAACTAAGAATCCCATCTTGAAGACAGTTTTACTATAACTAGTTTATAAATCATTAATTTTTTATTGTTATTGCTGCAATGACAATTACTAATGCTATCAATAATAATGAAAAATACTATCAGCATTTATGTAGCTCTTTATACTTTAAAAATACTTTTATCATATTCTGAAAGCATACAGCTGAGGGGAACCTGCTTTCTTGCTTCATGGGACCTCTAAATTTTAAAATCCAAATACTCCTAAGCTTCACTTTCTGGCAGTATGAACACAAAGCCTAAGGAGAGGAACCAGCACTTCCATGGGGTCTCCAATACAACACCACAGACCTCATTTCTCGAAGACGCTTCACATGCTGGATGCACTTCTCCACGGTGTAGTCCACTTCCTCCTCTGTAGTGAAGCGGCCAATGCCAAACCTGAAAAAGGCAAAGGAGAAGAGCTCTACATCAGGGAAAATTTATTCAGCAAATATTCACTGAGGATCTCCTACATGTAAGACATGTGGTCCTTCCCACCTAGGCCAATCCCTAAGTCAGTGTTTCTCAGCACGTGGTGTGTGAACCACCCACATTTGAATCACCTGAGAAGAAGGTTCCTGCACCTCCTCCAGACCTAGTGAATCAGAATCTCTGGGTGTGGAACTCAGGAATCTTCATCTTTCACAAACCTCCCAGGTAATACTCAATGAAGTCTGAGAACCACTGCACTAGAAAATTTCAAGAACCAGGAAAGTATAAGAAAAACTAGATTGAGAAAGACTACAAAAGGAAATGAAAGATGTAAAAGAAGACAGCCTGCCTTTCATAAATGTTGCAGCTAACTCACTGACCTGATGGAAGAATGAGCTAAATCCTCATCAGTGCCAATCGCTCTAAGGACGTAAGAAGGCTCCAGGGAGGCAGAGGTGCAAGCACTGAGGAGAGACACAAAAGCCTTGCTCAGTTCATCATCAACTGCTTTTAGTCACAAACTCCTAGGCCCCTGGAGTCATACCATACAAACAAAAGAAATACAGTCTGGCAAAACTAAAGAGCCAGATGCTGCCCTACCCATCATGGGATGTGGACTTACCTCCTTCAGCCCCTGTGGTGGATAACAGCTAGAGCAAGGACACTGCCAGAGTATGACAGAGTATGATAGAACATGGGCTGGGTTTGAGAAAAAGGCAGCACAGTATCCTGTGCTCATTGCAGAGATTAGATATACCATCTGTACCAGTCTTGAGGATAAATAAACCCTAGTGGCTTTTGGAGCAGCCTTCAAATCTGGAGGCCTATGGCAGACCTGCTACTGTAACCCTATAACAGGTACGTACATCCCCAGGGACCACAAAAGGCACAAAATTCTACCCCAGGAAGCCCTCACTGGGTGGCAAACTTTAGTATGTGCCAAATCAGCTAAAAAACCTGTCACTTCATGGTCACAGGGGACATCAAGCTCAACTGGCATAACATACTACACAAAAACATTGTTCGACATTCTACTTTGGTGAGTAGCGACTAGGATCTTAAAAGGCTGCAAGCAAAAGAATGAAGAAAACCAAAAATTCATGGAATCAATTAGTCCTAGTGACTGGTACACCATCCAATCTGCAGCCTACACAACTATAAGACCACAAGAACTAGATGGTGCCCGGGTACCACTGTCCACCACTTGCAAGGGGATCTATATAGGAGATCCTGGATAGAGAGGGAGAACAATGTGGAACAAAACTCAAAATCATTTGGAGAAAAAAAAAAAGAGGGAACCAGGCTTGCTGGTCCGACAGAGCCTGGTGGAACCACTAAGACTATGGCCCCAGCTGCCCTTCAAGTCTGGAATTGAACCCACACCTGTGGCTTCCAGCCAAACAAAAGACAGGCATCTGAGTTGAACATTTACCTGAGGTAGATACGTTCCTTGGAGACAACAATCATGGGAGAAAGAAGGGCTGTTTATACACAGGAAGACAGCTCAGGGGGCAGGAGTGCATGGAGGGATGGACACAGGGAAGAGGTGACTATCAGGAGAAAGTGGGAGGGGAACTATTGCATTGTGGTAAATTGTGGTCAACGTCATGAGACAAAGTGTATGTGAACCGCTGTATGGAAAGTGAATTTGCTCTGTAAATTTTCACCCAAATCACAATAAAAAAAAATGTAAAAAAAAAACAAAACAACCTTGTAAGCAGCCATCTAGATACAATGATGGCTCTCTCCTCATCCAGAGCAAAGAAGAATGAAGAAAACTAAAGACACATGGAAACAATTAGCCCAAGGGACTAGTAGACCATGTGATCCTCAGCCTATATGACCATGAGACAAAAGAACTAGATGGTGCCCAGCTACCACTGTCAACCACTCAGAAAGGGATCAGTGCAAGAGATCCTGGATGGAGTGGGAGAACAATGTGGAAAAAAAAAAAAAAAAAAAAAACCCAGGTTTACTGGTCTGATAGAGCCTGGTGAGACCCTCGAGACTGTGGCCCCTAGTTATCCTTTAGGTCTGGAACTGAACTCACTCCTGTGGCTTCCCACCAACAGCCAAACAATAGACAGGCATATGGGTTGAACATTTACATCAGGCAGATACACTCCTTGGAGTGATCAATCGTGGGAGAACGGAAGGGCAGTATTTGCACAGGGATATAGCTCTGGGGGGTGGGAGTGCATGGGAGGGAAGGAAAAAGGGAAGAGGCAACTACAGAGAGGAAATGGGAAGAAAGTTGTTACACTGTGGGGAATTGCAGTCAATGTTATGAAACAAAATATGTATGAATGACTATATGGAAAATGAATTTGCTCTGTAAACTTTCATCCAAATCACAATAAAAATTTTTTAAAAATAAAAAAACTGTCAGTTATAAAATGACCTTTACCCTTAACCAAAAGCTATTTTACTTATGATTTTTCAGTGTTCCCACTTGCACACTGGAAGCTTACTAAGCTGTTATGGCACTTAGAAGCCAGGCTACTCAACCCTGCTCAGTCCCTATCTATCTGGTCCAACTCACCTCCCTGAGGATAAAGCAACATCCTTGAGTGCCATCAGCAGACTCTCTCCTTCCACATATGCAAAGGAGAGGTTGATACAGCCTGGAAAAAAGGACCACTATGAGGGGGCTCTCAGAGTCTCAGGCTCTTCTAAAATGGGAGGAGAAAGGGCTATACCTGGATAATGGTGCTCAGGGTCCCCATTCATCACCACATCTGGAAGGCTCTTCATTATCTTCTGTGTCAGTCGCTCTGCTAACTTTGAGATTCGCTTGTGGTCATACTAGGAGTAGGCAAGGGAGGACTAAGCATAGTGACCATCCACTAGCTCAGAAACACGTAAGTTGAGGAGCCCTTCTATATCCAGAAGTGACTATGCAAGAGGGACACCTATCATCCTATGTGCCTCATGGAGCCCACTGTATCCTCAACACACAATAGTGCCTGGTATGCAAAAGGTGCTTAGTAAATAAGACATTGGTCCCAACAACCCAGAAACAAATGATTAATAACTATTAAAAGAGCTTAAGTTTGGGAGTCTATAATATCTCACTTAGAACAAGTTGCCAGAAGCACCAGAACAAGGACAGGTTTTCTTAAACCTCCTCTTCCTATAGAAATCTGACTCAGTTGTTTCTGAGAAGCCTCTAAATAGGAGACCCCACATAGGGGAAGAACTCGTAGAAGGGAACCACTCTCCCCATACCTCCATCTCTTGTTGTGCCACCTCACACGCAGCCCCCAGCCCCACCACCAAGGGTGTGGGCACTGTCCCAGACCGCATACCCCGCTCCTGCCCCCCTCCACTCTGCAGGGCCTCCACACGCACACGGGGCCGGCGGCGAATGTAGATGGCACCAACTCCTGGCAAACAAAGTGTGGTCACAAAAGAGAGAAAGAGATACGCAGATGAGACAAAGTATCACTTTCCAAAGTGGTCAAAATAATCTTTCAACTTGTCTATAAGGTGGAATTTTTCTAAATAAAAAATGTTGGGGTAAAAGAAGAATGTCAGTAAAAGCATAATATTTAGCAAAATTATTTATCATCAGGTGGGTGACTAGCAGTAGGATTAATGAACAAAACGGTTTAAAGTAGCTATCTATCCATGTATAAAATAAGTCATTCATTATAGCATTATTCATAATAGCAAAGATTTGGAACAACTTATATGCCCACCATTAGGGGAATGGTCAAATAAACAATGGTGTGCCCACACAATGAAATACCAAGCAGGTATATAAAAGAATGAGGAAGCTCTTTCTATACTGTACCGATACTGTAAAACCTCCAAAATACAATGTTGGAAAACCAGTGAAATCCAAAATAAAGTCTGTACTTTAGTAAAAGAAAAAAAAAGATGCACTGTTATGCTTAAACAAGTAAGATGCAGAACAATGAGTATCAGATGCTACTCTTTAGGTAACAAAGCAAAGGAAAGGAATAATTCTAGAAAAATACCAAAGAAATCCCCTGCTCAGAGAGGAACTGCATGGCTATTAGAGGTAGGAGGTCAACTTTCCACTGTGTATTTTTGCAGTTTTTGAATTTTGAACCATATCAATATATTACATTTCTTTAAAAAAACAACTTTGAGGAATAAAAAGGAGTCAGAATGGGAGTAAATTTGGTACCATCTCCCAGGGTGTATCAAAACGTAAAAATGTGTAAAACCTGTGAATCATCAAACCTTCTTTCAGGAATTTCATACTGAAATACGAAAATGAGTGTGCAAAGACAGTTACTAAGCAGTCAAGGGGTTTTGAATAGAGTGGGTACTTGACAAAGGTCATTTACTGAATCTTCTCCCACACAGGATAATTGTTCAGGCAGAGACTGGAGATACTATAAAAACTAAAACTGAATGAAGGACCCAAATTTTGTTATGAAAGATGCAAATTTTAAAATAATTTATGCACCAAACAATATTTATTAAGAAATATTTCATTTCTCCATTTAAAAAATAAAATTCTACTATCCTCCGCTATATAAATCTGTGCAGTTTCCAAATTCAGAGAGCAAGTGCTCAGACACCATAATGTGGTGAAAGATACATTACCTAAATCTACTTAAATCTTGAGTTCAGAAATCAGGACTTTGGATACTGAGAGATATCTGTATGCATATAAATGCTAATCAGAGCTTCTGATCAATATGAAATCATCAGCTTCATCAAAATAGGTATGTTGTTGTTGCTGTTGGTATGTGCCGTCGAGTCGAATTTAACTCATAGCGACCCCTCCATGGGTTTCCTAGGCCGTATCACTACAAAAGTAGATTGCCCCATCTTCCTTCTGAGGAGTGGCTGGTGGGTTTGAACTGCCAGCCTTCTGGTTAGCAGTCAAGTGCCTTAGGCACTATGCTACCAGAGCTCCCCAAAATAGATATGGCTATTGTGAAAGCCTATGTGATGTAATGCTTAAAGTGCTTGGCTACAAACCAAAAAGTCAGAGGTTCAAACCCACCAGCCACTCTGTGGGAGAAAGATGTGGCATTCTGTAGAGATTACAGCCTTGAAAACCCTACAGGCAGTTCTATTCTGTCTTAGAGGGTTGCTACGAGCAGGAATTGATTGATGGCAATGGGTTTTTTTTTTTTTTGGACACAAAAGCACTCTTTCCAATGTGTGGGGAACCTGAGAAGACATCTTACATACTTCTAGGAGGTCATCACACTTTTTCCCCCAACATATACATCCATATGACACATCCTGTAGACAATGAAAGTGTACTGGCACAAGTATCACCAACAACCACAGGTCCTTACCCCAGAGACAAAAAAATTCTTTGTTATGGCTGCCTCCATAATACAGAGAATAATAGTCTCTTCCCAAGGGTTGGGGGGAAGAAACAGAACCCAAGCTTACAAACATTCCTAATGCCAACAATGCCATAGGTGATAGAAAGGTATCCCTGAGAGACTAACAGAACCACAAACTACTAAGACTTTTAGGAACAAAAATTAAAAAACATAAAAGACCATATAATCTCACCTACACTAAAGTGAGACACTAAGAATGAAGGACGCAAAAAATGAATACCACAGTGGGGCAGAAAAGATAGCCCGGCCTATCTAGCTAACTTGATATGACAAAACCTCTTGTTAGCTTCCATATGCCTTCTATGGGTTTTCTAAACAGACTAGGAAGAATGCTCTACTGTATAGTAAGTTCTATGGATTACACATGGGCAAGTATTCCTCATTATTGCTAAATGACAACTGCACTCTGCAAGGCACTCCAGTTCCTCTGAATGCAAAGACAGACCTGAAAGACTTCAAGGAACACCTGTTCAAGGACTTGCTGGCAGGTACAAAGAAGAGGAATTCTAAGTAATGCTAGTACCTTTTGGACCATAGATTTTGTGACCACTGATGCTCATGAGGTCAATTTTCATGTCGTTGACATCAAGTGGAATTTTCCCAACGGCCTGGGCTGCATCAGTGTGGAAATATACCTTTCTGGAACTGCAAATCCGCCCTAAGGAAACATCAGAGGGAAAGACCCACAGCACAACATTGGGAAGTCACCCATTTATGGTCCCATAATGTAAAATTGTGATCTCATTAATAGCCTCTAGCCATACAGTAAATCATTTCTCTGTCTTTGGGTTCTAGCCTCCTTGACTGGAATAAATAAGAATGAGGGCAAAGCATCAAGCCAAAATACGCCTGATGTTCTGACACACAACACTCTTCCCATCTCATTAACCCTGGCCTTTCAGTATATCCGATTAACATTTAGGTTATGTTTTTTATTTAAAAGAAGAAAAATTAACAGGTCTATTTGCTAACATGCCTAAAAGTTTATAGGGTGAGTCTCTGGTTCTACATGGGGATAATAAAGAGATGTTCTAAAGGGGAAAGAGAAAGAGGAAAGAGTGGGTTTTGTTTTGGCTTTCCACCAACTACAGCAAAACAAAAGAAACCTAAAGGGAACTGGCTATGTTACTTACGATATTTCCTTGAGAAAAGTACTTAATTAAGCTCTTTCCCTTGATTTCCTTACTGCACTCAAAGTGTGCCGTTCCCAGCCCAATCTTGCTGCCTATACAGATCCAGTGGTGGGCATGAATTAGGGTATATCTATGATACTAACCTATTTCCGCAATAGGCTGCTTCACTCCAATCTCATTGTTCACAGTCATGACTGACACCAGGCTGGTATCTGGCTGGATGGCAGCCTCCAGGTCCTAAGAAAATGCAAGAGTGAAGAGACTCTACATTGCCAACAAAGTCATCTTTCCTAACTCCAAATGTATGTGTGAACTTCGTCCTGACAAAGGGCCTTTCATTAAACACCTACTGGAATGGTTAAAATAAAAAGAGTGACAACACCAAATGCTGCCAAGGATGCAGAGAAACTGGATCACTCATACACTGCTGGAAGGAATGAAAAATGGTACAGCCACTCTGGAAACAGTTTGGCAGTTTCTAATAAAACTAAACATGAAATTACCATATGATCCAGCAACTGCATGCTTGGGAAATGAAAATTTTAAGTTCATGCAAATACCTATACGAGAATGTTCATGATAGCAAAAAGCTAGAAACAACCATAATGTCCTTCATGGGCTAATGGTTATACAAAATGTAGTACATCCATACCATGGAATATTGCTCAAGAATGAGAAGAAACAAACTATGGATACATGAAACAATTTGAATGTATCTCCAAAGATTTATACTGAAAATAAAAAGTAAATCCTAAAAAGTTACATATCGTATGGTTCTATTTATATAATATTACTGAAATGGCAAAATTACAGAAATGGAAAATACATTCAGGGCAATTAAAGAGCAACAAAAGGGATCACTGTGGTGATAGAATGGTTACCTTGACCTACACAGGTGGTAAAAATGCATCGAACTAAACACACACAAGTACAAGTACACCTGGGAAAATTAGAACATCAGTAGACTGTATCAATATCAATATCCTAGTTGTGATATTGCTATTGTACTATATTTTTACATGATATTATCTGAGGGAACCTGGACAGAGGTACATGAGATCTCTGTACTGTTCAATTGCAAGTAAATCTGTAATTATCTAAAACTAAAAAGGTCAATTAAAAAAGAAAAGGAGAGAGGAGTCTTTACTACCTAAGATTGTAAGCTGCAAAGAACAAAGTAAATAGCAAAAAACAGGGTTGCTATTAACAACACAAAGTGCAGGATCACATCTGACCAAAACATCATATATCTTAAAGAAATTATTAATCAATCCACCAACATTCCTTCCCTAGCACTTGGTCTAATGTAGGCTCTCAATGTTATGTTCTCTCTCAGTTCCATGTTTGCTTTCTTCGCTATATATATTCCAGTTTATAATTATTCCCTTTACAGTAGTCCCCAACTTAGAACAGTTGGCATTTAAGTTATAATGAACCACATGTATGACTGTCATTTTTTTTTTTTTTTAATTTGTACATCTTATCCTTAGAGATATGTACTATCCACAACATTATAAACACTGGCCTTCTGCTGAAAGTACGGGGGACTGCTAAAAAGCCTTCCAAGGAAGGCTCCTCGGAAGCGAGAATGGCCAGACTGTATCTCACCTACTTTGGTCATGGTGTCAAAAGGGACCATTCTCTGGAGAAGGATGTCATGCTTGGTAAAGTGGAGGGTCACTGAAAGAAGGGAAGGCCTCAACAAGATGGACTGAAATGGTAGCTGCAGTGATGGGCTCAGGTACAGTAGGGATTGAGAGGCTGGCACAGGACTAGGCAGTGTTTTGCTCTACTGTACATAAAATCACTGAGTCAGAGATGACTCAACAGCATATAACAACAACAATAACACTACAGCACAGAATGTGATGATGCTATTCTCAGATGTTCACTCGATGACATTCAATATTACGATTTACTGTTCAAACCACTGCCCTATAGCAGGCTATGAAAATAAAAAAAAGAGAGATATTCTTATACCAGAACCAACTTACAATGGAGCTGTCAGAACAGAACGCTGTCATAAGTCAGGGACTATGTGTATATGTTCATTTACTTGTTAGCTGTCCCCTTCACTAGAATGTAGGAAATAGGCATACCTTGTTCATCACCCTACCGCCAGTACCTGGCACAGTGGTACAATAAATAAGACCAAGTGAAAAAAAGGCAACACGCTAAGTATTATAAGAATTAAAAATACAGAATGGCAATAACAACAAGTCTTCACGAAACAGCCTGGTTGGAGAGACAGACATAGACACACAACAGAGAACACAAGTAAAAAGCCATTAAGTGTTGAAGAACTCCAGAGAAGAAAGAGATCATAATATATTGGAGAAGCCAAGGAGATACTATGATAGAGGTGGGACTTGAGCTAAGTTTTTAAAAGATGGAGAAGATTAAGGTAAGTACAAAGAAGATAGTACAAGATCAAAGGTGAGAAGATATGTAAGGAAAGGCCAAAAGAATAACTGATAAAGATATCTTACGGAGATATATAGGTCTGCATGGTTGGAATGGAGGGTGTTTTGAAGGGCCACAGTGGTCAGGAAGACTGAAAAAGTAGTATTCAACTAGCATGTACATCCTTTGAGGTTAGCATTATCCTGATACCAAAACATGACAAAAACATCATAAGAAAACTACAGATCAATATCCCTTCTGAATAGAGATGCAAATATTAGTAAACTGAATCCAACAATCTATGAAGATGATTATATATCATGACCAAGTGGGATTTAACCTAGGAATACAAGGTTAGTTAAACATACAAATATTAATCAATGTAATATGCCATATTAATAAAGAACAAAAATTATACAATCACCTCAATAGATGTAAAAAAATCATTCGAAAAAATCTCACCACTTTTTATGATAAAAACACTTAACATACTAGGAAAAGAAGGGAACTTCTTCAATCTAATAAAAGGCACGTATGAAAATCCACAGCTAACATCAAGCTTAATGGTGAAAAACTAAACGCTCTCACTTCTATCAACACTGCACTAGAAGTTCTTACCAGGACAATCAGGCAAGAAAAAGAAATAAAAGGCATCCAGATTGAAAAGAAAGAAGTAAAACTATCTCTAGTCACTGGTGACATGACTTATATATAGGAAACCCTAAAGAATCCATACAAGTTAGAGCTAATAAATAAGATGACAGTAAAGACACAGGACACAAGATCAATGTACAAAAATCAGTTGTATTTCAATATTCTAGCAATGAATAATATAAAAATAAAGTTAAGAAAACAATTCCATTCACGATAGCATCAAAAGAAGAAATAGGAGTACAAAGGAAGACACTGAGAGGTATGCAACAATAAAGGACAACTAGAGTAAACATTATAACATACATAATCTTGCAACAGTATATAATAATATAATAACACCAATAAACAATAATTTGGGAGTGCATACTAAATAAGTATGCTAAATAGATGTGGAAGGTCACATGAGACTACACTTGAGTGCATATATAGATATGGTTGGGGATTTCTCTATACACATTTGTATGTAAGTGCTGCATGCATATTGATACATATAATAGAGCACAAAGGGGAACAATTATGGAAACTTCTTAGACAAAACTAAACACTTCGTGGGACTGAGCTACTAGGCATGAAGGCTAAGAACCATAGTCTCAGGGGACATCTAAATCAAATGGCAGAATATGGTACATAAAGACAATACTCTACATGTCCTAGTTTGGTGAGTAGCATCTGGGTCTTAAAAGCTTGCAAGTGGCCATCTGCGTTACAACTATTGGTCTCTTCCTGCACAAAGCAAAGGAGAGTGAAGTAAACCAAAGACTCAAGGAAGCAGTTAGTCCAAAGGTCTAACGAGCCACGTGAACGATACAGCTCCTCTAACCTGAGACCAGAACTAGATGGTTACCACTACCATCCATTCTGACCAGGGAAATAATAGAAGGTTCCAGTAAGAATGGGAGAAAAATGTAAAATAAAACTCAAATTCATAGAAAACACCAGACTTACTGGTCTGATATAGACTGAAAAAAACCCTGAGACTATTGCCCTTAGTCACCTTTCTAACATGGAACTGAAGCCACTCCTGTAGGCCACTTCTCAACCAAATAATAGACTGGCCTATAAAATAAATAGTAACAACCATGAGGAATGTGGTCCTTAGAACAATCAACTGTATAAGACCAAAAGGGCAACATTTGCCCAAAAACAAAGATGAGAAGGTGGGGAGGAGCAGGGAAATGAGGAAACCAAGGTGGAACTAAGGAGAGTGCTAACACATTGTGGGGACTGCAACCAGAAGGGGAGAGACTATTTGCAAATCATACATTTGATAGGGTTTAGTATCCAGAATGCATAAAGACCTCCTACAACTCAAGAACAAAAAAGACAACCCAGTTAAAAAATGGGCAAAGGCATGAG